GGTAAACTAAGTCAGAATATTCCTCACTGGTAGACCTTCTTTATAAGAAATACCAAAGGGAGTCCTCTAGGATTAAATGAAAGAAGAGTAGACAGTAAGTCAAATCCACATGAAGTAACAAAGAGCAACATTAAGGTGCTCAACAGATGCAGAAAAGTAATCTGATAAAATCTAACACCCTTTCACAATAAAAACACTCAACAAAGCAGAAAGAGAATGGAGTGTTCTCAACTCATGTGTTTCCAAGTTGTTTCTTACATTTACTATTAATAGATCCATGGCATCCAGTAAAACCCACAGTTAACACTGTACGTAATGGTGAAGCACTGACAGCGTCTCTTTAAGATCAGGAACAAGATAAGGCTTCTGCTCTTTCTAATTCTTTTCATCATTGAACTGGAGGTTTTAGTCAGAAACTAGGCAAGAAAATGAGCTAGAAACCATTCACATCAGAAAAAAAGAAGTAAAACTATATTTTCAGATGCCATGATCTTGTATGCAAAAAAAAAAAAAAAATCCTAAGGAATAAACTAGAAAACTAATAAAATGAGCAAGTTCAACAAGGTTGCCTGATGCAAAATCAGCATATAAAAATCAATTATATTTCTAGATGCTAGCAATAGACAATTTGAAAATGAAATTAAGAAAACAGTTCCATTTATAATAACATTAAAAAGGGTAAAATACTTTGCAATAAATTTAATTCAAAAAGCTCAAGTACGCTGAAAACTGTAAAACATTGAAACAAATTAAAGACCTAAAAAAATGGAAAGACATCTCCTGTTCATGGACCAGAACACTTAATATGTGTTAAGATGTCAGTACTCCCCAAACTATACACAGATTCAACACAACCCCAATCAAATTGCCAAAGGACCTCTTTTTTGCAGAAATTGACAAGCTAAATTTGATATGGAAATGTAAGGGACCCATAATAGCCAAAAAAATCTTGAAAAAGAACGAAGCTGAAGCATTCACACATTCTGATTTCAAAATTCACTGCAAAGCTACATTAATAAAAACTGTGGTACTGGCTAAGGACAGACATATAGATGAACAGAATAGAATTGAAAATCTAGAATTAAACTCTCCCTTTTATGGGCAAATGATTCTCTACAAGGGTATCAATTTAATGGGAAAAGAAGAATCTTTTCAACAAATGATGTTGGGACAACTGGATATCCACACACAAAATAACGAAGTTGGAAACCTTCCTTGCACCAGACACAAAAGTTAACTCAAAAAGGATCAAAAGACCTAAATGTAAGAGTTATAACTATAAAACTCTTAGAAGATACTACAGGTATAAATCTTTGCAACCTTGGATTAGGCAATGGTTTCTTAGATGTGACACCAATGCACAAGCAACCGAAGGAAAATTTGATAAAATGGACACCATCAAAATTAAAAATATTAGTGCTTCAAAGGACACTATCAAAAAAGAAGAAAAGACATGTAAGAGAATAGAAAGTATTTGCAGGTCATATCTCTAATAAGAGCTTAATATCCAGAATATACAATGAGCTCATACAACTCCATAACGAAAAGACAATTAACCCAATTTAAAATCAGGCAAAGGACTTGAATATACTTTTCTTCCAGAAGATATCCAAATAGCAAAAAAAAAAAAAAAAGGAAAAAGGAAAAAAAGCAACAATGGCGAACATTATTCATTAGAATAATACAAATCAAAACCACAATGAGATACAACTTCACACCCAATACAATGGCCATAAATAAAAGGACAACAGGTGTTGGTGAGGATGTGGAGAAATTGGAACTCTCATACGTTGCTGAGGGGACTGTCAGACGGTATAGCCACCCTGCAAAACAGTTGGGAAGTTCCTTAAAAGTTTAAGCATAGAGTCAATATATGATCCAGCAATTCCATTCCTAGGAATATACTCAAGAGAAACACAAACATGTTTGCACAAATACCTATATGCAAATGTTCAGGGCAGCATCATTCATAACAGCCAAAAAGTGGAAACAACCCAAATGTCTATAAACTGACAGGTGGCTAAACAAAATGAGGTACATTATCCAGAGAAAGTTATTCAACGGTAAAGAGAAATGAAGTACTGATACAACATGGGCGAGCCTTGAGAACTATGCAAGTGAAAGAACCACAAGCCATGTGGTTCCATTTACATGAAATGTCGATAATAAGGAAATCCATAGAGAGATTAGTGGCTGCCAGGGGCCAGAGCGAGGGAAGGATAGGACATGACTGCTAATGGGTGTGAGGTTTCTTTCTGGGGTGGTGCAAATGTTCTGGAATGGGTGGTGATGACTAACAATGTGAATACATTAAAAGCCACTGAACTGTATACTTCAAAAGGATGAATTTTATGGTATAGTATCTTGATAAAAATAATAACTGAAGCCACTTTCAACTGATTTTATCTGTAATCAGAGGAAGGCATGGGATCCCAGAAATCCCAGGAGCCCCTGGAAGTGGAGGCTGGGGCAGCAAGGAGTCTGATTCCAAGTCTCTGAAGCCAGAATCTGCAGGAGCCACTGTCATCAGAAAACCTTCCCAACTATTGGTGGTATCCATTGTGACCTCTCGTTTGCCTCTGAGAAGCCAAACTTCATCTTCTGATGAGGTGCCAAATCTTCACGCTAAGCAGGACAGACGCCCTCCCTGCAGCAAGCCAGAATCCCATCAGCGCTTTGTTTCTTGACTGCTTTTGTGCCTGGAATATCCCTTTCATCTCACAGGAGCTGGCTTAGGGCTTTACGACCCCACATAATCAAACGGTCTAGCCTGAAAATGTGTTTAAAACTTGTTTTCCTTTTTCCTGTCTTCTCCTAGTCTTATGATGCAGAAAGCTTACTGCAGAAAACTTGTTCTCCTTAGTCTTAACATCCAGCCTTGGAGGCCTGACGTAGAGGCTCACGTCTATAATCCCAGCACTTTCGGAGGCCAAGGAGGGTGAATCATGAGGTCAAGAGATCGAGGCCATCCTGGCCAACATGGTGAAACCCCATCTCTACCAACAAAATACAAAAAGCAGGGCGTGGTGGCACGTGCCTGTAGTCCCAGCTACTCGGGAGGCTGGGGCAGGAGAATCACTTGAACCACGGTGGCGGAGGTTGCAGTGAGCCAAGATTGGACCACTGTACTATAGTCTGGTGACAGAGCAAGACTCTGTCTCAAAAAAGAAAAGAAAAGAAATATATATATATATATATATATATATATATATATATATATATGGCCTTGAAATGCACTTTCTTTGCAACACCACGGTCTCCCTTTCTCACCACACACCCCCTAGCCCATGCACGTTTATCTGTGTGCTGGCATTTAATTATGGGCTTACTTAGAAGTTCTAGGGGCTCATCCTGAGACCAAGCATGGAGACCGAGCTGCACACTGCCAGAGGTCAGCTGGAGGCGGTGAGTCTGCGACCAGCCACAGAGATGGCACCAGCCCACACTCCAGGCAGGCCACAACTAGAGACAGCCACCGGAGCAAGAGCCTCAGCCCTCAGAGTGGGTGGGCTGTGGCATGAGACAACCTCCAGGACGAGACCCTCAGACCTCATAGCAGAGCCCCTCGCACGTGCCTCCCATTCTAAGTTCCCGGTTTGAAGCCTCTCTCCCCAGCCTGCAGTTGGAAGCACAAGTCAGCACCTCCCCGCCACTCACTTTGGAAATAAAGTCACTTTCCCTCCGCTTGTTGCTGGCTTTGCAAGCGGTGAGTGGCTGAGCTCACGCCGGTCACACCAGCAGGCCACTGCTCAGTCATCTCCACCAGTCACGCTTTCCCATCGGTCACTGTCTCTGACTTTCTAAGCCCTACTAGGTGCAGGGAATGAAGACCTGGCGCCTGGGCTCTGAGGCCTGAGCCTGGTGGGAAACGCAGGAGAAAGGAGTAAAGGAGAAAGAAACGACCCCGAGGGGCACAAAGCCAGGTGCCGCTCCTCACCCTGGGGAGCTGAGGGCAGAGAAGGCGGGCGGAGGGTTTGGAAGTCGGCTCTAAGGAAGCCTGGAGCTGTGAGAGCGCATCACCACCAGCGCCTCTACCCGTACGGGCCGCTCTGTTCCCTCCTGAGGGCTGCTGTGCTCCTGTCCCCCTCCCCCCACAGTGCAAAGAGCCCCTTCACCCTCATTTCCAGAAGGGCCTTCACAGGACAAGGAAATGCATGAAGCCTCCCGGGGAGCAGGATGAGGGCTTGGAAATTCGAAGATCTCCACCACACAGAAGGCCAGTGCCCCGCAGAAGTGGGACCCCAATGCCCTTCAATGCCCGTCACGCGCACAGCATCCTAGTTTCTCACCTTCCTCCCCCTTCCCTTTGAATACATTTGACACCTAGACGTGAGCTCTGAAGGGCACGCCTCCCTCCGGAAGCCTTCATGGGGATGGGGAGTGGCAACACCTCTAGCCCCGCATGCCACCCACCGGGTGCCCGTTGTCCTCACTTCACCCCCATGCTGTCTGAGGGGCTGGAGGGGCTGCCGGCAGATCCTCATGTCTTCTCTGGCTTCTCGTGCAACATCGAAGCAGCACACGTGTCCCCAGTCAGGACCAAGCGTCTCTGCTGTCCTCACGGTGCCAGTAGTGGACAAGGTGCGCTCCACCTGATGGGCTCACCACACAGCCGGCCACCGGCCCGGGCCCTGCCTGCACCACAGGTTTCTGCAGCGCTATTTCCTCAAATCCAGCCTTTGCAACTACCCAGAATGGCCAGATTCCTCCATGAATCTGGAGGAATCAGATTCCTCTATCAGTCCCCAGGCATGCCCTGCCCAGCCCTTGTAGGAATGAAACCCCTCTGGTAGCTTACATCACATTCACAGGCCCTCCAGCTCAAGTCCCACTCAGGGTCTACTGCCCCCCCAAAACAGAGAGGAGAGTGTGGCCAGAGAACAACACAAAGGCATTTCCAGCAAACAGAGACCCTGGGAAAGGGAGATGGGAGGGCGGTGGTCAGCATGGACACTGGCTGCCTCGGCTTCTGCCTCGAGGTGGCCGGGGCAGCTACTCACTGGGAACCACTTTCTCGTAGCAGACGCCTCTGTAGAAGCAGCACCCGAGCTCCTTGCACCGGTCCCTGGAGACGTTGTAGTCACAAATGTCATACAGAGGAATGTCACACACTGCAAAAGCACAGACACATACAAGTGTCACCCCAGAAACACAGCCGCTCTGCTCTCCGCTGAAGAACCTGGCAACTGGTGGGGGGAGCCGATGCGGGCTTGTGTTGTGGTTTTGTTATTTTCTAAATTATGCATCATGCAAATCTTTATTTGAAACTAAGACCCAGAGTGAATTAAATTTCTGAGCAAAATAATGTCAAGTTAATTACACAGAACAATGCAGGGCCCGCTAAGGATCAGGAGACAATACATCTCTGCATGGCAGCGACAGAGCCCACAGAAGGCAGCGGGCGCACACAGTGCGGACTTGGGAGTTCGGGAGGGAACATGTGATTAATTCACACTTCGGCATACAGGAGTCAGAATTAGCAGCATGGGTTGAGGATTATTTCAGAATTTTAAAACTTGCATCAAAAGGACAGAAAGTTTGATGCCAGCTTTGACCCAAAGGGAGAGGCAGGGAAGACCATGAGCGTGTGGCGGGCTGCGGGAGGCGGGAGGAGGCGAGCGGGCAGCTCCTGGCAGACGACCCTGCCGTGGACTTTGGCAGCCTCACACCTGCTCAGCCTTGAGGGATGTGGCTCCCCCCATTAGGCATGGGCCACCGGGGGACTGGGCTGGCTGCTGCAGGAGATTCCTGCAGATGAAGGCCCAGGGTGCCGCAGTCCCACAAAGTCGAACTTTGAATCGCTCGGTGAACCGCTTTGCTGTGTGAACCGCAGTCCCACAAAGCCAAGCTCTGTGCCCCTGGCCACAGCTTTGCGCAAGCTACTGGAGGTCTTCCCCGGCCCCTCTGTAAGTTGTTCCACGGGGCCAGGGCCCGGGAGGGGAGCTGCCTGGCCTTCTGACCCTTGAGGAACCCCATTTGTGTTCCTTGGGGTTGCTTTCGTCTTTCGTATTAAAGGGTTGCCTGTGGAACCTGCCATTCCTAATCCTCTTCCCCAGACACCCCCACTTCAGGTTTGCAGATGCCACGGCTGCAGCCCCACCCTCTGCCAGATGCATTCTGTACCCGGGAGCCTTGCCAAGGTGATGCCCTACCTGCCACAGCAGAGTGCCCAGGGCAGGCTGAAGTCACCGCTGCCGCCACCCTCTCCTCCCTCAGCTGCACGGGGTGGCTGTGTGTGAGCTGACCTCCCACGTGGGGAGCGGCTGGGGGAGCCGGGAAGAAGCCGCCAGCAGCAGGCAGGTCCTGCACAGCCGGGCTCAGAGGGGCCTGCGATGGTGGCCAGTCACAAGCTGTGGCTGGACAGGCAGTCCCCTACGCTCCACGCAGCAGCCCATGTGTCTACAGCAGGTGACTAGGAGGGCTTTGCTCCCCGGGCGTCCAGGCACCATGGCCTTTTTCCTGGAGTGCAATCCCAGGGTGGACACAGCGCCACAGTTTCACAGACACTACCCACAGGCAGCTCCCGGAGAATTCAGAGTCCACCACTGCCTCCGCTTTCCAATGCGGATGATGACAGCAGCACAGCGAACACCCGCCGGTACCTGGCTGGTGATGCCCGCAGGCTCCTTCACCCCATCGGACACCTGCCAGCGCCCAGCTCAGGATAATGCAGGTGCCTCCACCCCATCAGACGCCCCCCAGTGCCCGGCTCTTGATGACTGCAGGCTCTTCCGCCCATCTGGGAAGAGTCAAATGAAACTCAAGATCCCACGAGCTTGGACACAGCAGGGCTGGGACCCACAGTGACCTCTGGCTTCAGGGTCCTGCTCTGTCCGTGGTGCCAGGCGCCCTCCCCACCATCCCCAGATGCGGGAGGAGAAACCCCAGTGGCGCAGAGGCAGCAGCTCACAAAGCCAAGAGAACAAAGGTTTCCGGAGACTTGCTCCAGTGACAGCGGATGTTTAATTTCAGCAAAGAGCCTGGGCAGGAAATACGCCACTGAAGCAGGTATCATTTTCATTCATACCGTGATCCTCTTCAACATCACTGCACACACATGCATGCCTTACTGCTCCTTGTGATGGCTTTAACATTTTAAAACAGTAGCTGCTTTCCTGCCTCCCGCCTCTTCCCACATCCCATTTTCCTTCCCACCACAACCACCGTCCTCCTCCCGAACCTCCACGCCGCCGCCATGCATTTTTCAATCCACTGGACCCTGAAAAGTCTCTCAAACATTTCCATTCCTAGCCTCACATCCACCCTCCTCCACAACCTGTAACAGGCTTTGAGATTGGAGTAAGGTGAGCTTTCTGGGCAGGGACAGGTCACAGCTGCCCACCGAGGGGGCCAAGGTGGGCTTCCCACATGGTGGGGGTCGGCAGGGGGTCACACAGCCGCCAAGGGGGCCAAGGTGGGCTTCCCACATGGTGGGGGTCGGCAGGGCTGACGCAGCTCCCTGCTCCCTCTAGAACATCACGGGCAGCTTGCCCCATGCACAGGCTCCGGATGCCCAGCATGCCCTCCACACCCCCCGCACCACAGCCAGGGCAGCCCGAGTGTGGGGCTCACCACCTGGCTCTCTCGTGTGCTCCCCCAGAATCGCAAAAGCGTGGCTGGGAAGGAGAGAAGGAGCCATTGGCTGGGCCAGGCTATGGGAGGGGACGCGCTGCCTCAGGATGGCGGGGCAACCACGTTCCTCCTGATCTGCTGAAACGAGGCTGGGACGAAGTCTGTCCATCTAAAATGAGCTGAGTGCCTCCTGGAAGGAGCCAGGTGAGGTGGGGCCCGTGGACTGAGGCTTCTGAGCTGGTCCCATGAGTCTGTGGCATCACCTCGTCTGCAGAGGGCAAGCCCAGGGACGCTGCCGCTCCCTGGGGACAGTGGGCCTCCCATCACTCCTCAATCATCCCACATCCCCCAGCCTGCCACACCTGGGGCTCCTAACACACCCATGCCCGCCTGGTGGCAAATGTCTGACTGTTTGACAGTCTCTTCACTGCACATTTCACTGCTTCTGCAGCAGGAGAGGAAGGTTCAGGAGGGGGATGGTGCCAGAGAGGCGCAGATCTGAGGCCAGGGCTCTCCGAGCCAGGCAGGGAGGCATCACCATTTTAAGCGGGGCTGACCATTCTGTGGTGTTTCTCCTGCCTGTGCTCTGTCCTCCCCCGGCCCCTCTGTGAAATGCAGACTTGCAGGAATTCTTCCCAGGAGAGGAGCCAAGCCCAGAGACTCTTGCAGGAGCAGCACTGGGTCCTCCATCTGAAGACCCATCCAAGTCCCTCTGCCACCTCGTTTGCCCCCATGATGAGGCAGTCCGTTGGTTAGCAGGGGACAGGCCGTGGTCACCTCCTGGAGAAGCAGGGGCAGACAGCGCCATGACCTCACAGCACCGTGGAGGCTCACAGCACTCCTGAGGCTTAGCCTCGCTGTTGGGAGCTGCTCCCCCAGAAAGGCAGGCATCAGGCTGGCCTCCAGGGGACACCTCCAAGCCACATTGCCCCACAGCCCCCAAGAATGTCCCAGCTCAGGGTTCCTGGCAGCGCAGCTATGGACAGCCAGACCCGACCACAGGGAGCTTTCCGAAGACAAGCCAGGCGGGAAGAGAAGACAAGCTGCTGAGTACAACGGCAACAGGAAATGCGGAGAGGCTCTCGGGAGACGTGCCGGGGATCACGGCTGCCACTAGCACCCCAGAGACCATCAGCGGGCCTGGCCCGCACACCCCTTTCTATCTGTGAGCTGTGACACCACCTGGAATTCGGCTGAATGTGTCTTTACAGCAGATGTCATAAGTAAAAATCTCTGAAACTGGAGACCCATTCTCTTGACACAGCTTGAAGCTGCATATCGAGTTATCTTAGGACAGAAGACGCCAGTTCTCCCAGCGTTTGAGCAGCAGAACAAGGAAGGAGAGATGAGGCAGCCGGGCAGGGATCACAGCGGGGGCCGGGAGCTGGCAGGTGTGTGCAGAGGGTCGTGCGTGTGGTTATTCCCGCCTGGCACAGGTGCGAATGTGGATGGGGGTCTGGGGCGTGCAGGGCCACGGATCCCCAAGATTCAGACACAGAGACCCCTGAGACACGTCCATGGACCCCAGAGCCTGTGGGGAGAGCGCAGAGGCCAGTGGCTTCAAGTCCCCACTCTTTCATACAAGCCACTCAGAGGAGAACACACACTGGTGTGGAAAGAGTGTGGAAACACTTTTTCAGAAACTATTTTATTTAGGGAAGGAGCTGACATCTGTCTTTAGGCAGCAGCGGAGGCTGCAGCACCCCAGTACAGGCACGGCCTCCGGCCGGGGCTGAGCGTCCCGCACACGGCTTTTCCCCAGGGGCTGCCTGGCATCCTCCCGTCCTCATTTCTGCTCCCGAAACCCCAGGTCGCCCGCTGCCCTGGGCCATGTGAACCTGGCACCCCGGGAGCCGGCCTCAGGCCACCACCTGCTAGGGGGCTGCCTGGAGGCCCAGCTGCCTCCTCTGCCGGCGAGCGAGTGTGGACATGGGGAAGCCCAGCAGGGCTGTGTGGAAGGGAATGTGGGCAGGACTCGCAGCACATGGGGAGGGGCTGCAGAGCAGGCGGGCCTGGAGGGCAGAGTCTACCCCACACGGGCCACGGAGCCTCTTCTGCATCTGGAAGGTGGTGCGGAGAAGGACGGGAGGAATTGGCTTCTTCCTGGGCTCAGACCCAGGGTTGGGCGGCAGAGAGGGCCTGAGCTGCAGGAGCCTCAGGGCCAGCCACTGCAGTTCAAGGTGCCAGCTCCCCACCTGCCCACTGGGGCCACCAGTGGTACAGACACCTGAGCCAGCTTCAAGCCGGGACAATGCGGGTCTTGTCATTCATTTCGCAGCCTCCCTATGCCCCTAAAGGAACAGAATCGCTCACAGAACAGCCACGCCAACGTCCGCCAAGGATGACAAAGACCACGTCGACTCCCCGCATTCGTCCCCCAGCCCATGAGGACAGGCCACGCGGGAGCACACGGGGCATCGCCTGCAGAGGCCAGGAGCCGGGGGCTGGGCATGGCCACGGCAAGGTGAGAGGACTGCAGCCCGGGGGCAGCTTGGGCAGTGTCCTGGGTGACCTGGCACACCTGAGATGACCCGCATCAGTCCCACGCACCCTAAGAAGGGGCGCCAGCCTCCAGCAGCCCCCAGTGGCCCCTCCGACAGGAGTGGCCAGGCCCAGTAGCAGCAGCTTGTACCCATAACAGCTGCCATGCTTGCGGCCCTGAAGCACAGACCAGGAGGGTGGCCCCCAAGGGCTGGAGAAGGGAAGGCTCTCTCCCCATGGGCTTGCCCTGGCTACAGGGCCATCTTGCCAGGAGATGGGAGAGGCCATCCCAGCCAGCCACGAGAGCACCCGCTCCCTTGGGGTCCAGGTAGAGGCCTCCCGCTCCGCCTGGGGTGCGTCTGGGTCAGGAACTGCAAAGACTCTGCTTAGGTCCAAAGAGGCAGCTGCCCCTCTGGTGTGACGAAGCCTGGTGGCAGGCTGGCAGATGCCACACACTCCTGGCACCTGGGCCACCCTCTCCTGCTGTGAGAGCTGCAGGGCCGGGTGCGGCTGTGGGCAGGTGTTGGTGGCTGCCAGCAGCCCCGGCGGCCTGGAAAGTGCTCCCGAGTCTACCTTCCCAGCAAAGGAAACGACCCAAAACCACCTCGTTCATTTTCTTTTTCTTCCATTTTCTGGGTTTTTGTTTGTTTGTTTTTGAGATGGAGTCTCACTCTGTCACCCAGGCTGGAGTACAGTGGCACAATCTCAGCTCATTACCAGATTTGCCTCCTGGGTTCAAGTGATTCTCCTGCTTCAGCCTCCGGAGTAGCTGGGATTACAGGTGCCCACCACCACAACCAGCTAATTTTTGTACTTTAGCAGAGACAAGGTTTTGCCACATTGGCCAGGCTGATCTCAAACTCCTGACCTCAAGTGATTCACCCACCTCGACTTCTCAAAGTGCTGGGATTAGAGGCACGAGCCAACATACCCGGCGAATTTTCTTGTTTTTCTTTCTTTTTTTGTTATTATAAAAGCAGTGCATAAATACAAGCTCAATTAAGAAAAAAAAAAAAACAACCATTCAAGTAGCAGGTAAACCTGAGTCGTGGAAGGTGGCATCTCCTGCCTCTCCCAGGGAGGCGAGACCTTCCAGAATCTTCCTTTTCCTGGCTCTAAGTTACTGCCATCCCCCATCTGTGTACACTAACAGCTGATGTTCGAGAAAGCCACACCCCACATAGCTCCTTCCACTCCAGTGGCGAGGGTCAGTGTCAGGGTTGGTTGCCCAGGTGGGGAAAAGGAGCTTCTTCATTGCTGAGAAACATTTTTCCCTAAAAAGTCTCTCTTGCAATAAACATTATGAAGCAGTTGAAGCGGCTCTTCGGCGCCTCATGGACAAAATGCCTTTGACCCGTTAACCCCTCGAAACAGTTAAACGTAGCTCTTCATCGAGGAAAGCTCCGGTTCAAGCGGATTTTGTAATAACATTTGCAACAATGAAGACTTCACAGTGTTTTCCCAGGTTATTTTCTGAACACACATTTCTCTGCCTCGCCCTCCTAGCCAGGCCTGGGACCGGGAGCCCCTGCCTGCCCCTCGGGCTGAAGCGGCTCCTCCCCGCGTCCCCGCCCGGGTGGCTTCCCTCCATACCTGCGAATTGCTTCAGGAGGTGCGGTGAGGACTTCTTGACTTCCGGCACATATTTCATTGTCGCTGCTGACAGACAGATGCGGGGGCCGAGCAGACCTGGAAAACAGCAGCGGTCAGCAGCCCCCAGGACGTCACCCGGGCGGTGGACGGGTCATACCAGGAGGGAGTGCTCAGCAACTCACCTGCGCCTCACGTCCCAGGCGGGTCCCCTCAGCCACCTGTGCCTTTCCAAGTGGAAAACGCCTTTAGGTAAAACAACAAACTGGCCACCCCTCCGTCCACTCACTGTGGCCTGTGGGCCCAGGCTGGGCACACCCTACCCCCCGCTGTGACATCACACAGCCCCATGAGGTCACCTGGGTGTCACACAGGACTTAGGAGCCATGCGCGTGTCCACCTCAATGCTGGCTGCATCAAGGATGAAGGCCACTCAGACGGACAGATGCAGGGAGGGAGTTCCAGGTGCAAGACGCTGCTGGGGACACCACGGGCGGGGTCACCCCTGCCCCTTGCCCACCAAGCCCAGCTGTGGGCACAGGTGCCTGAGTCCTCCCTGGGACACCCCTCTCTGCCAGCCAACACTGGGTGCAGCAGGGAACAAAACCAAGTCCCTTCCTCCCTGGGGAGGGGGCAGCATGGCGCAGCTGCCTTGGACCAGACCTGGGCTGTGGGGAGAAAGGAAGCTCGGGGCATGCACCAGGGTGGGTCAGGGCAGGGGATGCCCCTTGCCACGGGGTGGGAGGGGGCGGCCGCCTCCAGGGAGGAAGGTGCGTCTGGGGCTGACGAGGGAGCACTCAGAGGTCCTGGAGAGAGGCTGGTGTGGTGACTTGAGAGACACAAGAAGCTGAGATACCGAGGGACAGCAGGTCACAGAACTGCGTGGCTCATGGTGAGGATGGTGGGTTTCATTCTGAGCAAAGCAGGGAGCCGGGAGCGGATTTTGTGCAGAGAAATGGGATGATTTTCCCAGCCTCAGTCCGCTGCGCTGGCAATGGCTCTCGGGAGGTGAGCGAGCAGGAAGGACGGGAAGGACCGGAGGCGCGGAGGAGGAAGGACCGCAGCTGCCGGAGGGGCCGGCTGCCTTTTATCGCTGGAGTTGAAGGAGTGGGCCGGGCACAGTGGTGCCCTGTAATCCCAGAACTGGCCAAGGCGGGAGGATTGCTTGAGACTGGGAGGTCAGGGTTGTGGTGAGCTGTGACTGCACCACCGCACCCCAGCCTGGGCAGCAGAGGGAGACCCAGTACCCATCACCCAATCAATCAGTAAGAGTGGCAGACAGCTTGGATGTGGAGAGCAAAAGGAACAGTCGACGGTGAGCCAAGGACGCTGCGGGGGCTGGAGGCCGGTGCTGTGGGGGTCAGGCAGGCAGGCATCCAGGGGACACACCCAGGAGGTGGTGCAGGCTCAGGGCTCTGCAGGCGAGGACACCAGCAGCTGGTAGTGAAAGCCACCAGCACGTGCTTGAGCACCCCAGGGAGCCCCAGTCAGAGAAGGAGCCCAGGGCCAGTGACAGGAGCAGGAGACGACTGGAGTCCAGTGGCCGTGGTGCCACAGAGGCCAGAGGGGCCATGTGGAGCAGTGGGCACGGTGTGGATGTGGGGGCAGTGGGCTCAGTGTGGGGGCAGTGGGCACTGCGTGGCGGCAGTGGGCACCACATGGGGGCTGCCCAGGTGAGCCTGAAAAAACGGAGGAGCTTTGAGGAGCGAAGTGGAGGTGGGGCCGGTGCCATCAGGAGGGTAAGTGGAGAGGGGCTGCTGGGCTGGACCAGGCGTTCACCAGAGCGAAGGCAGAGGTGTGACTCAGGGGCCAGGGGCCATCACGCTGTGGGATGACCTGCTGCCTGTCACATCTGGCAGCCCAGGAGCCAGGGTTGGGGTGCTGGATTTAAGAGGGCCGAGGCTTGCAGGGGGTGATGGTGCTGATGGACTCTAAGCTGGGAAAGAGCACAAGGACATCCTGGGGAGAGGAGAGGGCACTGGACGCTCGGCCCCCGGTGGACCGAGCGAGCTGGAAGACAAAGCCGCAGTCGGAGTGGGGGTCCTAAGGGTGAGGTGGCCGCACACGCTCTGTTCTGGATGAGGACATAGTCAAGGTTGCATCCCCGGGAGCAAGCAGCTGAGGCTGGCAGAAGCGGGGATCAAGGAACCAGGCTGTGTGGAGTTGGAGTCGGCGTTGGGAGTCCCCACCACCAGGCCAGAGGGAGGGACGCCCCAGGGGACCAGCCAGACCGCAGCGCCAAGGGTACAGGAAGGAGAGAGGAGCCTGAGAATGAGGGGCAGCTGCAGCCGGGGGTAGGGGCGTGGGAGGTGGCTCGGCCCCGGAGGCACAGAGCTGGTGCCCCAGGCAGCACAGGCTCTGGGGTGCAACGTGTGTGGGGGTCTCAGGTCCCTACCTACTCCTGTACACAAGACAGGCTGGGCTCTGGCTGCCACCTCACCAGTGCTGTGACCTCCGCCTTGGGACCAATCCTCCCCAGCTGTTAAAGGAGGGTAACAATGCAGCCCTCCTGGCAAGAGCCCCCTCAGGCCCAATGCCCAGCACACAGCTGTGCCATGGCCAGGGGACTGTGATAGCCACGGGGGGTTTACAGGAGTGCCCTGGGTAGGACTGTCACCATCCACCATGCGGCAAACTTCACCCGTGCACAGGACACGAGGTTGCCTTTCTGTTTCATGTTTATGATGGCTTTGTCGAAATCTACTTGGAGCACCAGGAACTCACCCACCTAACATGCGGTTCCCTGCTATTTAGTGTGTCCACGATGTGAGCCGTCATGGTCCACACCAGAACATTTCATCCTCCCAAAGGAGGCCTGGCCCTCAGGCAGCCACACACTCCCAGACTAGGCAATCCCCAGTCCACCTTCCGTCTCTCCAGATCTGCCTTCGCTGCCACTTTACATTCATGGAGTCACATGCGACGTAGGTTTGTGTCTAGATTTTTCACGTTGCATAAGGTTCATCCACCATGTAGCATGTGTCAGAGCTTTGCTCCTTTTCACGGCTGAGTAATATTCCACTGCAGAGACTGCAGGAACATGCCACTTTCACTTATCCATTTGTCTGTGGATGGGGACTGGGTTGGGCCAACATTTCAGCTTTTGTGCGTTGGGAACACTCAATGTAAGTTTCTGCATGGACGTATATATTCACTTCTCTTTGGTGTATCCCTAGGAGCAGAATTGCCGGGTCACACGGTGGAAGAACTCAATGTTTGTGTCCCCCTAAAATTGACGAGTCAGAATCCCAACCCTCAAGGTGGGAGTAGGAGGTGAGGCCTTGGGAGCTGACAAGTTTGCAAGGGTAGAGCCTCATGAATGGGAATTGTGCCCCCAGAAAGGAGGCCCCAGAGAGGGGCGAGAGTTCCCTCGCCCCTTCCTCCAGGTGAGGACCCAGTGAAAAGGTGCCAGCTATGAGCCAGGAAGGGGCCTGCATGCCAGACAGCAAATCTGCCACACCTCCATCTAGACTTCCAGCCCCAGAACTGTGAGCAACAAGTCTGTGTTGTTTCGAAGTCGTCCAGGCTATGGCATTCCACACGGCAGCCTGGAAGGACTGTGAGATGTGGGAACTGTTTCACCCTCCGAGGACCTACCAGGCTATTGTGCAAAGTGGCTGCACCATTTCACATTCCCACCAGGCAGAGGCACTGCTTCTATCTCCTGGGAACTGTCACCTACAGCAGGCACCAACCTGGGCAGCAGTCGGCTGGAGAACCACGCCATCAACAAAGCTTCCGGGAGACGCATGAGCCTGCAGTGAGGTCACTGCTAGGATGATTGCCAATATTGCCAGGATCACTGCCAGGATCATAGGATCAGAAGCAGGATTGAGCCAGGATCACTGCCAGAATCACTGACAGGATCACTGCCAGGATCACTGCCAGGATTATTGCCAGGATTGAGCAAGCACCGGGAAGTTGTGGAAGCCACTGGCTGGATGCAGTGGGGAGTGCCCTAGGTTTGCAGGGAGAGGGGCGGTGACCAAAGGCTTCTAGGGAGAGACTACATAATGGAGAAGTGGAACCCAGCAGGCCACAGGATGGTTACATCGGAAAAGACCCCGAGTCCACGGGATGGACTCAGCTCTGTCTGTACTGGTCCTGAGATCTGTTCCCACGTGGTAACCAGGGGCTACACTGACAGACACAATTTTAGCTAAGAGCAAGATGTCTGCAGGGTAGACTGCAGTCTTCCTATGGGAATGTGTGGGGGTTCTTTGGAAATAGGACAGGTGCCACTGGGACCCATTACAACCTCTAGGGACCCTAACTATGAAACTGTTATTCACCCTGAAACGAACTTGGCTAACAACTTGAGCAGAGCCCTCAGACCTGACTCCTGGCAGGGCAACTCTCCAGGCTGGGCGCAGGGGATGCCGGGGGCTCCTCGACAGGGGTGTGAGTCCAGTTTCCCCATTGCTACAGGCTGAACTATGTTCCCTCAAAAAAGAGGTTGAAGTCCTAACCCCTGGGACCTAAGGATGCGGCTGATTTGGAAACCGGGTCTTTTCCGATGTAACCGAGTTGAGGTCCTGAGCATGACGCAGTCCAGTAGGACCGGTGTCCCATTCAGATGAGAAGACACGCACACCAGGAGGGTGTCACACGCAGGCACGGAGGCCCGGGGAGGGGACACACAGCTGCACAGCTAGAGGTGAAGATGGAGCAAGATGCCTGCAAGCCCAGGAACATGGAGGACCGCCCGCAGCCCCGGGGCAGGACAGGCAGGAGGGCCCTCCCCGGATCCCTCGGGGGAGCGGGGCCTTACCCACGTCCTGACTTCAGATTGTGGCCACAGAGCCAGCGAGAAGGCAGCTCTGCTGTTGGCGCCATGTCGGTGCTGCTGTGTGAAGGCAGCCGCAGGAAACAAACACGCCGGTGTTGACAACTTTGCTGGGACAATATACAGCAAAGATACTTCCAAATCGTCAACCCCCTGTCCACTGTTCCCACTAGAAAACAGCCCCAAAGGAAACGACACGAAGGCCTGAGGAGCACACCAGGTCCGTCGCATTGTAGATTAGAGGCGGGCCTGGGGTCAGACCAGAGCCTGTGGCCCCAACCCTGAGCGCCCGAGCACCACAGGGCGACGCGGTCTCAGGCCCGGCTTTCCTGCCCTCCCCGCGTGCTGCTGCCAACCACGCAAGACAGCCCATTCGACTGACACCCAGATCCTTCACCACAGCACAGGGTGACAGCCGGCTGCCGACTTCACAGACAGATCCTCACACCCACGGTCTCAGAGTGGGCGGCTCCCCGGATGATA